AAAAATTTACTAATAAAGTATAATAATATAAATTTAACTAATAAAATATCTACTAATAAAATTGATTATATTACACTGTGTGAAAATGCAAATTACTTAGTACTCTTTAATTTTGGTAGCTCATATGAAGATGTCTCTAAAATTATTCGTAGATATACAGATGATGTAAAAAATGCATCAATGGTTATTAACAGCTACTTACGCAAAGGTAAAATTATTGTATTTGATTTAGATAGGCCTGAGGATGATCCACTTGCAATCCAGTTAAGATTTGATACTCCACTAGATTTGCAGAAAGAGATAGAGTTACGTAAAAAGCGCAAAATAGGTTCGAAGAACCATGACCCTTTAGGGTCACCCCTTCGGGCCTGCTCTGCAATAAAAAATGCATTGCCAGCTGAGACCACGAATTCTGAACCTGAAAAGGCTGAAAAATCGAAATGAAAAGTCTATAGTATTAGAGTATACACTTCATAGATTTTATTTCACATTGGCATTTTCATTCCAGAAATTTCATAATATATTTCCCAATTGTGATCTCAAGAATAGCATTAGGAAAACGGTGGACAACTACCTATCTATGTCCTCAAAGGTATTAGTAGAACTGGCATAGCCAAAAAAATATGTAGATAGTATGGGTATTTTATATCACGAAACAATTAATAAATCAAATAAATAAATGTGTATGGGTATTAAATAAGTTGTGCATTATTAATTTGACGCATTTCTTCTCTAACTGCCCATAAGAATTGGTAATGCTCAGCTAATTGCTTGGCCGTCATACCATCTGGTCGGTACATAAATTCAATCCATTTTCTTTGTATAGTTATACAAGCTTGAATTTTCTTACCAATTTCTCTGGCACGTTCGGCCTTTTTGATAGCACTCTGCATCCACAATCCATATCGATGTAATGCATACTTACTGTCATAATTATATCCAGAATTAGATTCTTGTTTAATTTTCAAATATTCTTCATAATTTATACCACAGTATTTATTACCGGTACATGAAAATTTCCAATGTCTTTCCATTCCTATATAGTTATAATTTTCTATATTCTTCTTTCTTTGTCCAGTATATACTAACTGATCACAAGAAAAACATATTGCTATTCCGATTTCAGGAGCATATAAACCACTATTCAGCAATCGTATTAATCTCCTAGCTTCGAGGTATTTTTTACTTTCAATAGGTAATAGATCATTCTCTCTGAAATATGTAAGACGTTTCCAAATCCATTTCATCCACTCACTGGGAGTTTCATTATCACGAATTTGTGACATATTACAATATTCAATCCATTCAGCATCAGTACAATCAGTTCCACGAGTGTTTATACCAACCATTTTACGACTTATTATAGTGTGTTTTAGAGATTATACGATTTATATCCTATTTAGGGATTTAGACCTATTGGATTTAATAACTTTATCCTCTAGAATAATGCGATTCAATTTTAATGATATTAGATTCTCGAGTTATCTTCCAGATCTGGCTCAAAATAATTTGTAAAAATATTTTACACTTAGCTTTATTCTGAGAAAGTGGCAGTCGGAATAACATTTATGAGAGCAAAAATTTGTGGTTCTGGTTATTTGTTCATAATAAGTGAAATCTCATTCGTTCTTTTCAACCCCAATTCCATTTTGATAACAATACTCACCTTCATATGTTCGATACTGGGAAAAATTTCACTTGCACCGTTCCTCGTATTCGAGTTGTACCCCATATAAAAATTAAGAAATAATATTAAATTATATTTTATGCGATCCAGCTAAATCATCCAATTGACTATTTTTGCGGACTGAACAAACCACCCAAGTCAAAGTACTGAGCCACCAGAAATGATGATTATGCCCTTTCAAATACATAACATACAAAGTCAGAGGCCCTATCGTCAAGAGGTGAAGACTCAAACGAAATTTTTTGCATAACTATATATACCCGTAACAAGTAACATGGGTAGTCGATCTATCAACACAAAAGCGATTCAATACAAATTTGAAATGCTATACATACCCGGTTCAGGTCGAATATAACTTTACTCTCGATGGCAGTATAGTAAGGTATTGCAAAGCAATGAGACAAGTCTCTTAAATTTTGGTTATAATTTTATTTTTCTGGTGGATACATTCAATCACTCTCTGTGGTGTGGTTCGGTTGTTTAGGAAGTCTGCGTCACCTTCCTCCTTACACACGCCCCACATCAAGGATGACGATCACGCCCAGGATAAAGAAAAAAGGTATATCTGTTTATTTGGATTTTGAGGTGGATACATTCAAATTAATTCTTATCTAGTAGCTCAGTGGACTAACCCGCGGGAAGCTCGTTCGGTCTCCCTCTCCTTACTACATAGACAATGATAATCTGACGATCGCGCCCTCTGTGATAGTGCTTTTATATGAAATAAATTTTAGGGAGGTAGTAGTCGGATCCTAGGCCTGCCCCGAAAGGCTATAACTACACCTGAGAAGACTATATTATAAAGGAAATATAGATCGCATATTTTTGTGGACCAGACGATCACCTTCACCTAAGTACTGGGCTACCCAAGGTAATTATGAGCCCGTTGAGTCTCACAACGTGCATAGTCAGAGGCCCTATCGCTCAATTTTAAAGACGAAATTTTTTGCTTGACTAAGCATACCCGTACAAATAGCTCTAACAATCATCTTATCAACGCAAAAACTATCTAACGGAAAAAAGAGAAATTGGGCAGAATATTAACGGAGCTAGTGCCAAAGGTGCTAAAAAATCTATTTTATATGTACTGCATGCGGCTATGTCTACACTGCATATCGATATATATTTGGCGCTACAGAAATTTAACACGAAATCGCTATATTTGGTATAATAATTAATCAGATCCGTGCTGGGAAAATAAAGTATAGTCATACTATCATATGACTTAACAGTCCCGCGGGACCACAAAAACTTGACCGGCTTTAATAATCGTAAAAGAAAGACACCCGAATATGTATCAAAAAGTGTAGGCTTCTCCGTAATTATTATATAAATATTGGGAGAAGCCTAGACATGTATTCAGGTAAGGCGGGCGCACAACATTGGAAATGCGCTCTTCCTGCTTTTTTATTGGCGCAATTATGTATGCAATGAAATCGAGCCTCATGCACAAGGTTAGTAGACTAGCCATAAATATTCGTACATTCGCTATTTCGATGTTCTCAGATAAGATCGAAAAATAGGACATACCGATACCCATAAACAAATATATGCGCTATTTTAACACGACCACGTATGCTAATTTAATTTTTATGTACTGGAAAAAAATAAATATTTATTACGCTTTTCTGCTTAAGCAGGCGATCACTCGATATTCGGGTTTATATGAGTAAACTATCGCTACGTAGCGTTGGGACAATTTTGCGAACGGTATTACAATGAAATTAGGTTATGGCTTGTGTCACTCTCCTGCAGAATTAATTCTCACGGTCGATTTTTGATTTATAACGAATATTACGAATATCTAGAAAGCTTTTCTTATTATATGTGACCCGCGATAAGAACAAACCACGAATGGGACTTAAAAGGGCTATAAGAGGAAGAGTATAAACGTTATTTATCAGTAGTTTTATCCAAATTCATATATCGCAGGAACTTGGAATGCCCAGATCGTCGAGATCGTTAACTTTTTCACTTCGCAGGAGAGATCGTCGAATCTAAAGGGGTTTAATTTACCTTAAAAAAACAACAAAATGGATTCAGTATTTGGGGCTTATATCCGAAACGGAGTTCTTTGTTAAGTGGGATCTAGATTGCGTTACCCTACCGCAATTACTAATCATGTAACTTTTCTTTCTGGCAGGTTTTTTAGATCTAGTGAATGGACGGTATAAATAAGCAAGTTTCCACCTTAAGGTAAGTTAGCATTAACGTTATTTTTTGCTCATATATATTTTTACTTGATTTACTTGCCTGTATTTTTTTAAAAAAGTAATTTGTTTTATTTCATTTTACTTCAGCTATGAAACCGAATTTTACTTACTATGTTTTTTTGTATTTAGGCACGAACAATGAGCACTAATAGCACCACCACCAAGAACAAGAAAAATAAGACCCCCAGGACCAGTGATAGCAATGCCTCCAAGACCAATGATAGCACCACCGCCATAACCAATGACACCACCACCTCCACGACTAATGACAATAACCCCTCCGAGGCCTTCTATTATGTCCCCCCAACACCGCCCAATCCAAGACCTAGCCAAAGGACATCTAATTCCAATCGTCAACGCAATAATAGGAGAAACAGATATGGTAGGAGGTAACTTTTATTAGAAAGCGCTCTTCATATATTTGTGAAACTAAGGCTAAAACTCATTTTATCGGGCCATGTCCGATTCAACCTATGACCCCAGAGAAGATGATGACTATAACGTTGATGAAGGTAGATCCTTGGACAATCTTTCGAGAGAAAACTTAGAAAGACGTATAAGTAATGATGACTGGGACGGTGGTATAAATCCTGGTCAGGCCCAAGAAATGTTAGATCAAATGTAAACCCACCAACTAAGGACGCCTCTTGGAGGCATATGTTTTTTTTATTATATAATAAATATATATATTATTTGTATATTATTGTTCCAGCAATAATTTTTATTAAATAAAGAGGGGGTCCGCTCCCAATTTTTTATTTTTTACGTGATCGATTTACGATTATTAATTAGTGGTGATAATAAAGTTATACCTAGTTTTCTTATTAATCTATGCTTTTACAGTCACTATTTGGATTGAATTCTGATATTTATTCCCCCAACATGTAAGACGATATGTTTTTGTAT